TTATAATTCTTGTTATCATCTTAAATTGTTGTATATCATAGAAATAACCAAATTTCCTTGTCAATTCCATTATAATACATTCTTATTAGACCTTTAATAATGGGTATTTTAAATCTTTTGTCATTTACAGAGTTATTTTACTCTGATGCTTTTATAAAAGTGTTCCTGCAGAAGTGCTTCTTCAAGCAGAGTCATGGAAAGAAGTCCAACAAATACAGTTTTCTCAAAACTTTAAGATCTTAAAATGAACTGGGTAAGAATTTCTGGAACTAGTGGAAAAACTGGATTCAAGCAGAGCAAAAATTAGTAACATGGGACTGAATGAACTGAGGAGGAGGATTATAATTTTTATGACTTCTTGTTTGAAGTATTCCTGGTTCTTTAATGTTTTGCTTTACCAGATTTAAGGAAACTTTTTCTCTTAAGCTATCAACAATTTGGTAGGACATACTCATGTGAACAGAGATCAAACATTTACTCTTTCTCCTCCTCCTTATCCCCCCAGAACTGTGTTACTCTTGGGTATTCTTTTCATGACAATAGTTAGTTATTCACATAAGTTCAATGAGAATCTGTTTTTGGAACAGGACACAACTGGAAATATTGGCTATATTACCAAAGCTTTGACTAGAACGTCATATTTGAGAAAGATGTCTGTAGACTTGTAACAGGGTGCAGCCAAGAGGGAGGCCCAAATAGGTATTTGGAGTGGGGTCCAGAACTCAAGGTGTCCAGGATATATTAGGATGTCCTCACCCTTTCCCCTCACAGGTGTGAGTTGAGGAAAGGGACAAATGGAGCAGGGCCTTTGAGAACTGTTTTGCATAGCAACAGCTTTGTAGCTAACCTCTGGCATGGTCATTTAACATATCTATAACCTTTAACTGGTTGCATAGATATGTTAAACAGCTGTGGCCATGCTCTGAGCCAGGGGGATGGAAGTAACTTCCCCCCACAGATGTAGCTGGGAGGCAACTCCCCCTAGTCACAGTGCCTATGTGGGAGCTTGGAGATGATTGGCTTCATGCCATGGGGCCACGCCTGCCCAGACTCACTATGGCAGCCCAGTAAAGCTGGAAGGATATGGGAGTGCTGGCAAGTGTAGCTGATTGTGGGAGGAGTCAGAAATGGGGCTGCAGAGGAAGACTGGCGCCGGGATTTAACATGGAGACTCAGCAGCAATAGAGGAGAGAACCACTCAATCTTCAGCAGAGTGGGGACTCCGCAGCCCTGTGAGAGAGAATCACCATGCGGCTTTAGCAGAGAATTGCCACTCACCTTTGGTAGAGTGGCAACCCCCGCCTCCCCGAAGCTTTGCTGAGAGATCCATGTGGTTTTGCCAGAGTGCAGACCCCTACAGCTCTGGTAGAAGAGGACCACGTGGCTTTGGGGGGTGCTGCCTTAGGTCATGTGGCCTGGGAAGCAGGAGAGACATTGCTTGGAAGAAAGGTGAAAGAACTCTTGCCAGTAGGCCATGAGAAGGTGCCACATGGCTTTGGATTAACTGGAGATCCTGCCTGGACTGCGACACAGCTGATGGTGTCAGGAGCTTGGATCCTGGACGTTTGCTTCTTTTCCTGAGTTACGGTACCCCGAATTAGGGCAGGGGGAGAAGGAAGCACTGTCGGTGTTTGAGGGTATCTCAAAGGACTTTGATATTTTAATGAAGACGTTAGGTCACTACTTTAAGTCTGTATAGCATTAAATAAACATTTCCTTTCCTTTTTACAAATCTCTGCCATTGAGAGATGTCTTTCCTATAAGGCGGTGGACATAACGAACCTGTGGGGTTCATTTTGGTAATAGTATATTGTCCTCAACCCCTTTGGCCCTTTGTTCTGTAACAGACTCAGATATGACCAGATTTTAAGGCCAATAAATCCCCTTGGAAAAATTGGCCTGGTACCTTGTTTACAAGCTTCCAAGCAAAGAAATCACTATTTTTGCTGCATTTATATAAATAATCAGGCCAACTGTAATGTGAACAAATTAGTTTGGCTGTGGTTATCTTTGGAAGAAAGAAATGGGTATAATTGCAGTTAAAAAAATTATGTTTGCATCTTTGTCTATATTAGATTTTAATCCTGTTAATTGTCTTTGAGGTTTTGTTATATACCTGTAACCTGGACTGGATCTTAAATTCTACTAGTTTCCTAAAAACTTTGGCTATGAGTATTCAAACTAATGTTTCCAATTTTCTCCCACCCTCTGATTTAGAATCACTGAGAATCACCTTAAATCTCCTTGAGAGGACTACCCCAGGTCCTCCTCACTGCCCAGATAGCAGGCAGACTTCAGGGACTCGAGGCTTGTGAACACATCTCACAGCTAAAGAAGGTTCTGTCTGATATTTGGGTACTTCCACATCAACTTGACTAGGAGGAGAATTAGTTGACACTGATGTCGACTGTTTCCTCCAAAGACGTCAGGTCAAGACTTTGAACTTTAAGTAATCATGGAACCCTCTCTTCTCTCTTTCCTGTACTCTGGCATTGGCCTAGAAAGATAACACCATAATCCATATCTTCCAGGATAGTTCTAAGAGGATAACCTCTAGAATTAGAAACAACTTTTTATTTCAGGCTAGATTTATTGTACTTCCAGAATGCACTGAAAACCTAACTGACCCCTGGTGTGAATGGGCAAGTGTACCAACCCATGCGAGTGAATCTTCTAACTGTCAACTTGAATGAGCTCATTAACAGTGTCACCTCGGTGGAAGTGGGTTGTGCTCTGACAGAATTTATGTCTGTGGCAGTTAGCATTTTCCTTGGGCCTATGAATGCCTAGGTGGCTGGTGTACAACTGGGTAATGTCTCTTAGGTTAGCTAACTGAGTCCCTAACTGTTTACAAGCAAACTGAGGCACCTCATTGGTCAACTCCACTGAATCTACATTGTTGAGCTAGAAAGGACCCACCAGGAGGTGTTGTTCCTTACTCAGGATTCACTTCCTCTGGCGGGGCCCTACTTCTCTGGTTGGGAGTAACTGTAAATGGGGTTATGGTTAGAAACCTTCCCTTAATTCTTGAAGATATTGTAGAATCCACTGCTAAGATGATAGCTGCCCAAGAAAAATCCTCAGACTCTCTGGACAAAGTCCTTCTTGATAAAAATATCCTAATCTTTTCGCTGAGCAGGAAGGAGTCTATGCTGTGTCTAACACCACCTGTTGCACCTGGATTCACAATTCTGAGGAAGTTGGAACTCAGTTACAGAAGATGACAGAGCAAACCATTTCAGTTAAAAAAGCGACTCTTTCAGTAGGGTCTTTGTTTGACTCATTTGATTTTGACTGGAGGGGTGTCCAACCTTTTGGTGTCTCTGGGCCACACTGCAAGAAGAGTTGTCTTGGGTCACACATTAAATACACAAATACTAACAAACACTGATCAGCAAAAAAAAGGTTTTAAGTAAATTTACAATTTTGTGTTGGGACGCCTTCATTGCCATCCTGGGCTGATGTGGCCTGTGGCCCATGGGTTGGACACCTTAGATGGCTCCAAAGTACACTCTGGATGTTGGGAATCATCCTGTTTATAGTGGCCATAGCAGTCTACTGGAATGTTGTATTTTCTTAAGAGCTTAAAGCACACGCTTGCAGCCACTAAGACTGGAACGCCGGAAAAAGGAGGAAGAGAATAACTGACTTTAAAATTGTGAACCTGAAGTGGTGGCCTGTGAATATCACAGATATTCAGAAAAATAAAGTCACAACCTGTGCTTCACACAGAGGATCAGTAAAAGCTGCGAGAGATACAGAGTGGTAGCTGAGAGTAGTTAATGCCTTCAAGTTTTATCATATCTTTCAGTTAAGCTGAGAGTCTGGTCACAGGGGCAGTTGTTAGAAAAAGCGGTAATAAGTCCAAATGGAGTCATTTGTGAAGCCCACATCACCAAACTGAGATTTAATACCTAACCTAACTGCACTTTCAGCCTCTCCCAGGAATTTAATCTTAACCAGTCAGTCTGGAATTTTCTGGGGAGCTCGAGTGAGGGAATCCACCTGACAGCTTGCTCCCATCCCCCACAGGTAGGTTACCTCAGCCTGAAACAAGCCACTTTTTCCCGTTTTGCCTATAAAGGCCTTCCTTTTGTACAGCGCCTCAGAACTCCCTTTTACTTGCTAGATGGGATGCTGCCTGATTCATGAATCATTCAATAAAGCCAGTAAGACATTTAGATTTTACTCAGTTGAATTTGTGTTATTTAACACCAGGCAAGCCTGGAGGAGGTGGGACCTCACAGAGCAGAGATGAGCCGTCCCTGCAGAGGCCGTTCTCAGCAGCCAGCAGCCCTGCCAAGATCAGCAGAGCCCCACTGGGACCAGAAGAACCGCACAGCTAAGCCTGGCCTGAATTGCCAGCTCATGGGAATGAGAGCTAAATACAGTTTTGTTCTGAGCCTCTGAATCTTGGAGTACTTTGTTACATAGCAAAAGCTAACTAAAAAAACTTTTTTGAGGAAGTGAACAATGACAGGATTTTAAAAGGACAATTAAGGGAGATTAATGGTGACAGAAGGAGATGTGACTTGGGTGGTGAACACACAATACATGATACAGATAAGATATTGTAGAATACACCTGAAACCTATATAATTTTATTAACCAATGTTATCCCAGTAAATTCGATAAAAATTTAAAACAACATTCTATTATAAATAAAAGACAATTACATATATATATACACACACACAGGGTGGGGCAAAAGTAGGTTTATAGTTGATTGTATGGAAAACAATACTATAATTAATAAATAATAATACAGGAATAAGCTCTGTGTTTCACATATTCATAAGTATAAACCTACTTTTGCCCCACCCTGCATTTTTGGTCATACAAACATAATAGCGAAGTCAAAGAGAATTCAGTCACTTACTCTCTGACCACCCCCCAAAATTCAGCAGGATTTAGAAATACGAATTGTGTTGCTCAGCCTTCCCAGTACTTCTGCATCCCCTATGGACACTGCTCTCTGTAGTGGAGACTGTTCCACTTACCAGAATCTTGGTGGTGTAGGCGCTGTTGATGGCAATGGCATTGACAAGCAGCTCCATGGTCTTGGCGTTGATGGAGCTGGGGTCAGGGATCTCCTTGTAGTGGACATCACCGATATAGGCCTGCACTACTGTCATGCGATTGGTTGTCAGTGTGCCCGTCTTGTCTGAGCAGATGGCCGTGGCGTTGCCCATGGTCTCACAGGCGTCCAGGTGGCGTACCAGGTTGTTGTCCTTCATCATTTTCTGGGGGCAGGAGGGGCGGATGAGAGAGTGACAGTGAGAGGGAGGTGGGGTGCTGGGTGAGCACATAGTAAGAGAGGAAAGGCTGCTGCAGTCTGTCCCTTTGCTTTCACACATGCAAAGGATCGTGGTGGCCACGGCCTCTGGCACCTGAGCTCGTTTCTGTGCCACGCTTTCCCTTCGGTTTTATTAGCTGAGCCATCTGAAAGAGTTGATTAGTTGATTCTATTAATTTGGATTACAGGAGTAATCTACATTCTTTATGCAAAAATAGGGGAAAGGATAAATTAAGGTTGGGACCTCTCTGTTTACTTCAAATATTTTTCTCTTATGCCATAATATAAATAAGTATTTTTTATTTATTATGAATTTTCTCAAATATACCATCTTTCACTGCTGCCTGGTTTTCCTTGTCACTTGGTTTCACCAAAAGTAAATGTGTTTTGTAGACATAAATGTTTATAGACATAAGACAATATCTGGAAAAATATGAAAATATTAGTGTCATTATCTTTGGGTGGTAGAATTATAGGAGATTTTTATAGTCTTTGAAAAAATTTATAGATTCTATCTTTCTACAATGAATACATATTGTAACATGCATGATGAAAATCACAAATTTCTTTTAAATATAGACACATAAAAAAGAAAAAGAAGACAAATGAGCCATAATGCTACCACTCATATCTGATATTTACACATCAACATCCTTTAAAATTTGTAACAAAAATGGAATCCTACTATACATATTATATTTTCTTTGCCTCCCTTTTTCTCTTCCCAGCTTCACGCTCCTAGCTTCTTCCAGCTTCTAAAGCAAGTAATACAAACAAATTAATGCTCTAGGAACTGTCACGCTTTGCCCAGGCTCTCCCATCACACTGACCCACAGGCAAGGAGGGACATGAAAAGTTGCTAAAATTGCTGAATCAGCTGTAATTCTTTTCTGGGCCTAGGAATTTGATTTCTTTTATTCCTTCACCTCTTTATAACTATAACAAGGGTAAAAAAGGAGCAGAATTAGAATACATTTAATACCAGGTCATGTTACTAAGAAATGAGTATTGGTGGGATTATATACTATTGCAGTTCCTCTTATTGTAACCTGTGGTAATAGTAACAATAAAAATATTTTGAACAAATGATTAACAGCGATTTGACTTTGCAACACACTTTACAGTTTGCAAAATTCTTCTGCACTTATTACATATATATATATATTTGCCTGATGTTATAAGAATCCTGTGAAACCTGCGAGGATTCTTGTAATTCATTTTGGTGATTGAAGAAGCCACGGTGAAGTGACTTGACCAGGGGCCCACACCTAGTGAGGGTTAGAGCTGGGATTCGAATCCAGCTCTGTTTAACCTCATGGCCTGGTTCATTCCAGAGGACTTCCGCCCATCTGTATTGCTGACTAGGGTTCGTCTACTGTGCTTAAAAGTGCCCAGGTCTGTGCTGTCTGATACAGTAGCTGGTCTGATGTGAAATAAGTGTAAAACACCCATTAAATCTTAAACACATTATAAAAAAAGTAAAATAGCTCACAAGTAATTCTTATATTAATTACATGTTAGCTTAATAATAATTTGGACATAATGAGTTAATTATGTTATTAAAATTAATTTTGCCTGTTTCTACTTTTTCTTTTTAACGTGGCTACTAGAAAATTTAATATCACATGTGCGGCTCCCATTATGTCCCTACAAGACAACACTGACCTCAGTGGTCATCTCTTTTCTTCTGACGGTGGCTTCCAGGGGGTAAGTCCAGCCCAGAGAGGGGAGCGCATGCCTCCCCCGGGTCGGAGTGCTGTACCGTGTTTATCAAGTGACTGCATAAGTAGCATTATCTAAGACGGATAAAGGCACCAGGTGCCAGAGATACAAACTGTAGAAGGTGTGGAGGCCTAAAAATGTCTGTACATGATCCCCTACAAACCAACTCTGTATGACTCTCAAGGAGCAGCCCCCCACCTCCGCCCTCCCCCGCCCTGAGCTCAGCTGGTGGCTGTGAGGGTCCTGACTCATGGCTGTGTGACAGTCTCCAGCTCCAGGACCCTGCCCCTCAGGCTTTGTGTTGTGACCTGTTTGGGCTTTGGTTTGTGGGATGGAGTTTCTCTGAGAACCCTAAAACAAGGAGATGATAAGGGCTGTATCCTTTACACAGGGCTGCCACTTTTTGGCACCTGCCTAGAGATCTGTTTTCTGTATGAAATTACATCGGCGAGCCCAGCCCAAATTCCAGCTTGGAAACTGACGCTCGGTGTGCCCTCCAGCGCCTCTGCCAATGTTCGCAGAGCGAATGCCTTATTTATAAGCACACTCAGGCCTCCGCCCTCACAGGGACATCCTGGCCTCGGGGCGCTGGCAAACAGCAGCGCAGCCCTCCCTCCGAAGTGGGAAAACCACAGGGCCAAGGGCAGAGAGTGAGCCCAGGGTGTGAGGACCTGGGGTGAGCCAGGCTTGAAGTGCACCAAGGAGGGCTGGACACACAGTGGCCGCGGGGATACCAGCCCCCTCAGTTCAGTGTTCAGGCTTCGAAGGTGGCCACGGGCCTGGGAGCAGAGGTGGGGGGGCTCTGCCATCAGGGCGGCACTGGAGGAGGCTCATGGCAGCCGGCGGGCAAGGGCCTGCCTGCCCTTCATTGAATTGTTTTCAAAACTTCATATTTTCAGCCCACCTCCTGAGGGGGGGCTTTCATAAAGTTAGATGTCCTTTTTGTTTTAGGCTTATTTCTTTCAAATTTTAGGAAGCAACCTGTAAGATCAGTATCGCAGAAGTACCGTGGCTCCAGTGGGCCTGCCCCTGTGGTGGCCAGACTTCTGCCACCGCTAGGTGGGGCGTGATGGGTTTGGGCCTGCACGGTGACATCTGGATTTTATTTTTTGTTTAAAGGTGAGTTGATTGTCAATGTTTAAAAATAAGGAGAATTTACATTAAGTCCAGATTTCTCGATTCTTTTGGGAAAAAAGGTAAAGATCTGGCAACACTGGGCCTATGCCCCCATGAGATGATGCTTGGCTGGGCCGAATGACAGTTGTCCCGTTAACCAGGGTGTGGGTCTCCAGTTTGCCACAGGCCCCTGACGACATGTGTTCTGGGTTCCTGGGTATGTCTCTCTCTGAGCTTCCAATGTGTCCACTGCCTTCTTCTTAGCTTTTCTCCCGACCCTGGTCCTGGGCCCTGGCCACCCCACAGACCCCCAGCTGCGGGCAACCAATCTCAGCTGCATCAGCTGGCCGGTCCTGCTCTCCACGTCTCACCTTCACAGAGTAGGCCAGCGAGATGGTGACGGCCAGAGGGAGCCCCTCGGGCACAGCGACCACCAGCACGGTCACGCCGATGATGAAGAACTTGACAAAGTACTGCACATAGACGGGCGTGCACTCGGGTAGCCACGGCTTCTTGTTGACCACAAAGGTGTCCACGGTGAAGTAGAGCACCAGGATGATCACCGTGATGGCCGACATCACCAGGCCTGCAACACGGGGAGGGAGAGACCTGCTCAGGGCCTTTCCTGGGGCTCGGGGGCCCTGGGACTTGAGATGTGGTGCAAACCCTTGGCCAAAAGGGCTCTGGGGTCAGGCCAAACCTAGCTCACATACCAGCTCTGCCACTTACTTGCTTTGTGGCCTGGGGCAAGTCCTTGGTCCTCACAGAGCCTCAGATGCTCCTCTGTTCAAGGCAGATATGTTTTTATTTTACCTGGTTTTGTAAGGATGAAATGCAACTACTGCATATAAAGTGCCTCGCACAGTGTCACACACACACAGTAGCTGCTCAAGAAATGTGTGCTGAGTGACTGTGTGAATAAGTAAGAACTGCCTGAATAGTGCTCTCACACAGTGATGATGTGCAGTTGGTGCCATTTATTTACTCATTCATTCAGCACGAGGGACATGGCAGTAAAGAGGACAGAATCCCTACCCTTGGGAAGCTGCAATTCTAGAGGTGGAGGCAGACACGAAGCAAACACGAACAAGATAATTCAGATACGGGTAATGCTGTGAAGAAGACTCCAGACGATGTGCTGGATTGCAACGTGGGCTGAAGATAAGAAAACAATCTAAATGTCGATTGGCAGATGAATGGGTAAAGGAAATATGGTATATACATACAAGAGAATATTATTCAGTCATCAAAAGAAGAAAATCCTGCTGTTTGACACAATGTGGATGGACCTAGAGGGCATTCTGCTACGTGAAATAAGTCAGACAGAGAAGGACTTGTATGAGGAAACTAAAACAAGCAAACTCATAGAAATGGAGAATGGAAGGGTAGTTGTAGGGGCTGCAGGGAGAGGAGAAGAGGGAGCTGTTTTTCGGTGAGTATGAAGTTTCAGTTTTGCAAGATGAGTAAGTTCTAGAGCTCTGCTGTACAACACAGTGCCTACAGTTAACAATATGATTATACACTTGAAAACTGGTTAAGAGGATTGGCCTGTTGAGTGTTTTTACCCCCCAAAACAAAAGCCACCCCCCAAAAAAAACAAACTATGAAAGAACACAAGGAAATTTTTGGAGATGGTTGCTCTGTTTAGTACCTTGGTTGTGGTGATGGTATCACAGGTATATGCATGTGTCCAAATTCATGAAGAGGTATGCATTAAATGTGCATTATTTTTTGGTATATAAATTATACCTCAATATAGCTAAAAGAAAAAAAGTGACATGGGCAGGTAAGGAAAGGCTACTTAAGCAAGGGTGGCCAGGGAAGACTTCCTGGAGAAGGTGATATATAGTAGACAAATGAACGATGAGAAGGAGCAACCAGGTGGTGACCTGGAGGCAGAGAGTGCCTAGCAGAGCAAACCAGTGAGAACACTTTTTGGGATGAGAAAACGGAGGAGATGTGACTTGCCCAAGGCCACAGGTCAGGGAGGTCCTGTAGAGTTAGAATATGCAGGTGGCGACCTGCTGGGATCCCTTGGAACCCCTTTTGCCAGTTCCTGTGCTCATCTCCATGTGGCACAGGTGCTGTGCAGGTGCCTCCGAGACTGCATATACCTGCAGCCTTCATCAGAGGGGGACTGCTCTTGGGCAATTGGAGTCTCCGAGTCAGGAATTACCTGGGAGTGCACCCCACCCCAACTGGATGGCCAATATCCAATGGCTGATGTGGGGGTCCAAAAGCCCCACCCCCTTCTGCGAGGTGGGCCAGACCCTGCTGAGGTCTTCTGCCCCAGAGCTCCCCACGGAGCAGGTGGAGTCTGGGATTTCTCCTCAAACCTCAGCTGTATCCCGTTTCTTCCCTGGCCCTGTGTGTCCCTTTCCTTTTACAGGTTTCATCTGTGAAGACTCCCTCCCCAAATCCCAAGCCCACCCATTTTCAACTCTGCTTTCGGGAGATTTAGCCCAAGAAAGAAACAGAGGTGGGATGTGAACCCAGAAGCACTTGATTCCAAACTCCATTTTTGGCAGGGCCAAGGGAGTGAAGAGAGATGAGCGAGGACTTTGAGAGCCACGGGGTTGTTCTCCTCGTGTTGCTCCCTGCACCTCAGGGCCACATTTCCTGGAGTCTTCTTCATGGCGTGGATGGAGGAAATCCCTGTGTCCATTGTTCCCCCACCCCCACTTCCAGCTGTGCAGCCTCAGAGCCTGCTCAGTCGCTGTCTGACAGTCGCAGGGGCGGGAAGCCAAGCTCCCAGCAGCCGGGAGCTCTCACCAGGACCCTGAGTTTAAATATAGACAGCCAAGCCTGTAATTTGCCTCCCTTCTCCACACTGTGGTGCCTATAATTAGAGCCGGGAGACAGCCACGGAGGAGCAAGCAGCCAGGTGGGGAGGCCTTGGCGTTTGCCATGTCATTACCCAGGAGGGGAGACCAAGGCCATGTCAGCCGGGCAGGGCTCACCTTACAGCTGGGCTCAGCTTCCTGGACCAGAGGGGCTGTTACCAGCTTTCACTGGAGCTGCCAACTCAGTTGGGAAGCCCAGCTTGTTGTGCTGGGGATCCCAGTTCTGCTCTCAGCCCTGCTCTCAGCCTCTTTGATCTTTCCTCTGCACTGCAGCTGGGTGGTCATTGTAGAGCTCCAATGCATCCCTGCTCTCCCCTGCTCAAGCCTCTTCCATGGCTCACATTGTCCTTAGGATACAGCCTGCACTGCATGCTCTATACCCTGCAGGATCTGGCCCCTCTCCAGTCACCACATCCATCAAGTGCTACACACTCTGTGCATAATCTCCTTCAGTCCTCATAACAACCAGTCAAGTAGGGACTAATGTGCATCCAAATTCCACAGACAAGCAGGCAGGGGCTCAGTTAGGGGGAATTATTTGTCTAAATTCTCACAGACTCAGCTGGACTAGAATGCAGGCAGTATATTCCTGGAAGCTCAGGCTTTCAGTTTCACTCTCATCTGTAAGTGTTAACTGAGCACCTACTGTAGAAGGACTTGGATTGTGGTCAAGAAGGGTGGCTCTCGGGGACCATCTCCTGTAAGCCACGACTTTGCAGATGAGGCATTTGGAGTAGGGTCCTGGCTGGGGTCCTATTGTGTGTGCCCCCTCACACCCTGCACTCACCTGCCTTGCCGATCTGCACAGCCAGCTTGGTGAGCTTGCCCTGGAGCACCGACTTCTCCTTCTTGTGCATGTTGGCTTTCTTCTTGTCATCAGCGTCACCACCCTCAGCACTCTTGAGGGGTTGCATCTCCATGGCGGCCGCACCATCCTGCTGTTTGGCTACAGGTGGCAGAGCAAGCATGTGTACACACAGACACACACAGACACACAGACATGCACACAAAGGTCAGCCTGCAGGGTGGGGATGTTGGCCCCCACCCTGCCTGCCTGGGAGAGTGTGGTGAGGTGCCCACTTCCCCACCTGGGCCCCTGCATGGCTGGCACAGAAGCCCTGTGGTGGGGGTCTGCCTCTTCCAGCCAGAGACACTGGTCCCAAGGCCACAGCTGCCTAGGACCTGGAATCCAGGACACAGCAGGGAGTGACATGGCTCCACCCTGGACTCCCTGCAGAGGTGGGTTGGAGTCCCCTCTGGGCCTTTTTCAAGAGGCTTGTTGGCTATTCCCACATCCAAACAAGACACACAGGCTTGGGCTTTACCCATTGGTCCTTGGGCCATGTTATTGGGATATTAATCACCAGAGAGCAGGGACAAAAAAAAGGGCTTAAAAGGTAAAAGAGAGTGTCCCCATCCATAGGTGCTAGGCCCCTCCTCATTCAGAGCAGGACTGGTGGGCCTGGAGCCATACCCCTTATCCCCTGAGGATCTCAAAGAACCAGCTTTAAGTTTTCAGCTAAACAGGCAGCACAGCTCAAAGGCTGGAGAGGAGCTGGCTTGCAGGTGTCCCATCCTCACCGGGTGACGCTTCCATTTGGTCTGGTATCACATGAATCATGGCTACACCCCCAAAGACATCAGGTAGCCATAGCTGCAGCCGTTTCTGCCTCTGGCATAGCCCTCAGAACCAGTGGGAAGGGGCCGCAGGGACCACAGGGCCCGGTTAATGCAAAAGGGTTACCTTTGCTCTGGCTGGCGTCCACAGTGCCATCCTGCATTTTACCTACACGACAAAGAATTTTAACAGACAACAGAGAACAGACAACACACATTGGTCATCACGAAGACGCAACAGGGCCACAGACATTCATGTCACAGATGGAGGAAGGGCTACGCTGACTCCGTCCCTCCACACAGGAATACTGGGAATGCCCCAGAGGCAAGAACAAAGCTGGCCAGCATGTTGGCTGCAGGGTCTGTCTTGATTCTCTGGGGGCTTGGAGAGAGTGTTTCTGCTGGAATTATTTTGGCCCTATGCATCTTACAGATTAGACAACAGCTTTGGAGGATAAAGGGGACCAAGATTGGCTGGCAGGGAGCAGAAAGGGGAGAGTTCTCAGGTCCCTAATGAGTAATTTGATTGGTGCCTTTTGTGGGCTGAGAGAAGGCAAAGGGGTGGGGCGAGGGGGGAGAAACAGAGAGAGAGAGAAAGAGAGAGAGATTGATTCTAGAATGGGACATGGGGAAGAGTTTGGTTAATGTGTTCCTTAGTTCCTGGCTCCAGGAGAAATGATACTACTTTCTCTTTTTCCTTCTGGAGGGGTGTGAAGCCACGGCATGGACGACTCCATGCCCAGCCCCACGGAGGGTGACTTATGTAAAGGGTGGGCAGAGGCTTCCCAGCAGTGGGCTCTGAGGTGCCCCAAGGATGTCCAGGGGGCTTGGTGGGAGGACTCTGACTCTCAGGGGAAGCTGCCAACCTCCCCTCCATTTGTACGTGTGCTCCTCATTCTGAGGGTGACCAGCTGAGACCACACTAGATAGGAAAGGTCAGGTCAGTAGGCTCTAATGGGTGTCCCCCACTCCTGGTCCTGCATACTGGGCCCTGGTGTTGCCTAGTGCTGTGGAGAGGGCTGAGTCTAAGGCTCCCCACCCTTTAATCTGGGCTGCTTGGGGGGCCCCCTCCACAGTTTGTGGGGTGTGTTAGCAGGGTGGAAAGGAGTGGTGGCTCCTGCCTGGTGGCTGAGACACCTGCTTTCACTTATCAGCACTGTGGACAGGGACATCCTGTCCACTGAGCTTACCCAGAACTCTGCCCTCAGGCCTCACCACCTCTGGAGGAGTCTGAGGAGGTCAGTGCCCCCTGGACATTTGCTGCAAAGGGGATTCCCACAGCTCAGGTTTTGGAAAAACCCACCAAGTGCCAGGTGCATACATGACCTTCATGATGTCATCTAGTCCTCACCACATCCTCACAAGGTTACAAGGGTACTCTTGTACTTATATCCATTTACAGATGAGAAACTGAGGCTCAGAGAGGGAGAAAACCTGCCTGGGACTCAGTGGGTAAATGGAGAGCTGGCCCCAAAGTGTGTGGATGTTTCTACCCAGTTGGGGAGAACACAGCCACTTCTCAGCCCCTCTGAATGCCCCAGGGGAGGGGCATTGAGGTGGCACTAGGGGACTGGGCTCCTGAAGTCCCTGCTTAACACCAACTAGCTGTGTGGTGTTACTTCTCCCAGCCTTTGCTCCCACCTCTGTAAAATGGGGATGCAAGGTTCACCTCCCGGAATACCTAAACGTTGGATTAGTAATAACCACTGGGCCATTCATCAGTCTTTGTGACACCCTGCAAGCCAGGTGGGAGGGCTTTTCTCACTCATTTTACAGATAAGGAGACTGAGGGCAAGGAAGGGTCAGAGGCAGCCCTCTTATGGAGCATCCTGCTGATAACCTTGTGGCTGCATGATGAGTTCCATAAGCAGTGCCAGCAGCATCACCACAGCCCCGTTGTAGGGGCTCGGGCAGGGCAGGAGCTTTCCTGGATCCCAGACCCACACTCTCTCTCCAAGGCAAGTGCAACGCTCTCCCCACAGCCTCTCACAGCAAAGGCTCAGTGGGTTCAAAGACAAAGGTCTCCATTGCTCTACTGTAAAATTCTTTCTAACAGATTTAGAAACAAAAGAGAAGAAGGCCTTTTAGAGTAAACAGAAATGAACTACAACAATTATTTTAATTAAAAAAAATAATTTTATGAACTGGGCTAAAGGGCACCAGAGGACTCTGCTTCAATAGCTGCTTTAGATGGCACCAAGGGGACTTTATTTGTACTGCATATTATCAGGGGCAATAGCCTGTGTGTGTGCCCATTAACCAAGCTAGCAATTTCCTCTTTTATTTCCACAGTGACCACGTGGCCAGAAAAATCATCGCTGATGCATATGTTTGAGGAAGGGAGTGGTATCCTGGGGGTGCTCTGATGCAGATGGTCTGGTTTCTCAGAAGCAAGGGACTTATTGGGGGCTCTCCTTAGCTAAATGGGTGCTCGTCCGGCCCTGGCACTGTGGCAGAACAGCCAGCTCTAGCCGCATGTGTGACCTGCAGGATGGGCTGTGTTTCAGGGGAGCTGGGATGTAGGACAGGACCCAAGAGTGGGAACTGGGTGGAGACTCAGAGGTCCCTCTGCATTAGATGCCAGATGCAGCTTTGCCAGATGGGTCTGTTCTCTTCATGCATTGCCAGGGACATGGGTGTGAAAGCATGGATGTGGGAGATTCACGGAGAGGTGACCTGAATCTCTGGGGAAACAGACCACTAAGCAGGAGACCTGGGAGATGTCACTTATCTTCCCTGCTTCTCCGTTTCTTTCTCTGTGAAATGCAACAATTTCAACCAAGGTGATGCTTACAAAAAGCACCCCAAAGTGCCCTGTAAATGTTTGGAGTGATGTATAATTAATTAATCATGAATATAAGAGACATGTTAAGTAGTGATTACATTTATAATCATAAAAGAAATAATAAAATAATAATGGCCATCATGAGGCCTCCAAGATAAACAGAACACAGCCATCTTCAGCTGGGACGGGATTTGGGGAGTAAAGGTGGAGGGAACACTGCCACTGAATTTGTTTTCTGTCTCCAAGTCATCCGGATTTGGCTCAGAGGAAGGAGGGAAAAGGAACAGCTACTTCTCTCATCACACCTCAGCCCTGCGCTTCTCAACCTTTAATGCTTGGAGCCTGGAGAGCTTGTCAGAATGCAGATTCTCATTTCAGTAGGTCTGTGTGTGGGGGCGGGGGTGCTAAGATTCTGCATTTCTAACAAGCTTCTAGGAGATGCCCAGCCTTCTGGTCCTCTGACTACATTTTGAGCAGGGGCTTAGAGCACTGTTTCCCAAAGTACATTATGGGGCATACCAATCCTACAAGATTCAGCCAGAGAGGGTCCTGCAGCCCCGTCAGCCTGGGAACCCCTGTGTGGCTCTGTATCTGTCCACTTCACACCAGCATGTGCAGGCAGTGAGCAGTCCTGCCACGAGGAAGACACCAGTTCTCTTCAGAGGCTATTAAACATCTTTGATCACAGGGTCATTTTCTTGGGGCGGGGGGGAAGGCCTCTTAATATCCATGTGAAGTTTACAAGACACACTCCATTGAGAAATCCTGAATCAGGAAGAGGAACACGTACTTTAGAGCCAGTCAGGCCTAGGTTCAAATCCCAGTTCTGCTACTCTCTAGTTCTGTGACCTTGGGCTAGGGTCTTGATCTCCCTGAGCCTCAGTTTCCTCATCCTGAAAGTGGGGATAATAAACTGTCTCAAAGGGTTGTCATGAGGATTACATGAGATGGCAATCATGAAATGCTTGCAAAGTGCCTGGTGTACAGTTGGTGGTCAAGAAATATCAGTTCCCTGTCTTTTCTGAAGTTTTTCTTGGGATACATGGGGTTTTTCTGCTACAGTTTGGATGTGAAGGTGCCCCGTGTTGGGAACCAGCCAGCCCAGATGCAGGCTCTGGGGGAGGCAGGATGTCACATCCTGTTTCCTTTTCCTCCAGGCTGTGGGTTTGCCTACCTCATTTCTCCCTGCCATCCCTCGCCACCCTTCCCTGACGCATGACACCTCCCACACCCCAAGCTGTCTTCCTTTCTCCTCCTGTTCCTGAAATAGACCCACACCCAAATTAGCCCTTCTTGGCAAAATGCTGTTTGCAGAAGTGTCTTGCCCAGCTCCTGACATCTATGAGGTGCTTCGAACCTGGGTCACTTTGAATCCAGGTGGCTCAGCCAGACGTCTGGGGCAGGATGAGGTGGGATCAACCTCCATGTCTCGCAGGAGTGGTGAGGAATAAACGCTACAATGGACGAGAACCCTGGAGCCCGGTGCCTGGTATGCAGCGACGCTGGGGCACTGGCTTCATGACTGGGCCCTAACGGCTCTCAGCAGTTCAGGAGCAGACTATCATATTATCTAATTTGGGGACAGGGAACATAACTGAGTAGCAGAAGACTCATCACTCTGAAGATGGGAGGGTATGGATAGAAGAAATTTTCTAAAGGTTTGGAGGCAAGCGCGTGGAACTCCTCCCTGCCTGTGAGCGAGGAGGTAAGATGCAGACCAGGTACAGTGGCAGCACCCTCCCCCTCAGGGGACATTCAGAAGGCAGAGACCCAGGACAAATGCTCCAGCACAGGCAACAGCGAGAAACACCAGTCCACATCCGAAGGCCAGAACCAGGCCCGAGCCCAAGCGAAACCCCTGCCCGTTTGCTCCATGAAAGAGAAGAGGAAGAAATGTCTACCAGTGGCTCAGCCATGCTATAGGGTGGGGCCAAGGAGCTGAATCCTGGCCTGGGTCCCCCTGCCTCGATGCAATTTTAGAGTCGAGGACTGGAGATTTCACTGGGGACCCAGAGGCCAGCTTCTGCCCAGGTCCTGACCCCAGGCCTTCTTCCCAAAGCAGGGGTCAGGAACGTACTTAGGAGAGGGCCACACACGTGGGACACTGCTTCTTGGGGCCAAATCTGAAGATGGGGCACACTCCCCTTCAGGACTCCACTGGGGGTCAAAGGCCCCACGGGAGCTATTTTGGTGCTGCAAGTGGGCGCAGAGCCAATTCCCGGTGGTGGCTTCTCTCTTAAGCGCCTGCCCCACGTGAGAGGACGACTGTCCCGGAGATGTCCATGCACATCCAAGATCTGTGCAGTCCAGAACAGGGAGAGGCCAGCCCAAAGTTGGGGGTGGGGGAGAGAGACACCCATCCACCCAAGACCGAGAGCTCGCCATGGGAGACGTACCATTGACTAGGCTGGTATTTGCACTATCTGCAGCATTTGAACCTGCCGCACCATCGGCCGCTGCGGGGGTGGGAGGGATGGAAAATGCAGTGTGTCACAATGGAGAAAAGCAACAATGCAGAACAGCAACAACAATAAAGACATGAACAAATTGTGGCAAATAACATGACTATATTCTTAAAAGAAAATCTCCGTTGGAGATCAAGAAACTCAAATTTGGGGTTGGGAGTGAAATGTTCTCGTAGAGATGCCACAGAAGTTGGGGGGAAAAAACTCAGACATGGAGGGTCTTTGAAATAAAACATGGAGGATGATCAATGTGGTTAGGCGGGATGGCACTATTCTGTGGTGAGGGTCCGGAGTGACGCACCCCACGGGCCCAGCAAAGCTGGTGGGTCCCCATCAGAGAGGGTTCTATGAGGAGAGGGGTTCTGGCTTCCTGTCAGGACCAGAGGGGCCCATGGCATGGAGTCAACTCAAAACATTCAACAATCGGTGCACTGCGGCACTGGCCACTCTGAATGGGTTTTGCCATGACCACCAACCATCACATGTACTGGCAGGACATCCATCAGTGTCAGTGACTTAGCAGGATTCATGCCCTTGACTCAGGCTACCACCCATGGCCACCTCCTCCTTCCTAACCAGCACTTGAAAGATTGCCTTGGTAACCCCATGTGAGATGCCCCACCATTTAAAAGGTGACATCAAACATGTCATATTCTGTGCATGAGACAGAGAAGGTATTAGCCAGTTTTCCTTAATTTAGAAATTAAAAATAATATGAGATGGTCAAATTCATTCTTGTCGTTCTTTCTTGGGGTGGGAGAACAGGTTCTGTGGGAAGGAGAGGGAAGAGACTGCTGGGTGAGGTGGACACGCTGTGGGTGAGTGGGAAGCCAGCCAGGCTCTGTAGGGACAGGTTGGGGAGCAGGGCTGTGGGGTCCCATGGTGACAGGCCCTGCATGTATGTGTGTGGGGCTGAGGGCTGTGTGAAGACGGCAGCAGTGCCATTGGCATTGGCCTGCAGAATGGCACATTGGAGGGGCAAGTAGGCTGAATGGGGTGCCGGCTTGTCCTGGGAGGCTGGCGTCACCTGGGACACAGCTGAGGCTCTGGCAGGGCAGAGCCCCTGCAGTCAGGGAGCATTGTCCAGCTGTGTGCTGGGGTCTAGGGCCCAGGCTCAGTGGTCAAAGGCTGCTGCTATTTCTAGAAGCCCCATCTACCCTGAGGGGTGTCTTACTGTACCTGGTAGCTGAAGGCCATCCCCCTTCTTCACACCTGTGTGATGATTTTTGAGACATATTAATGAAGGAGAAGCACACACTGCCTCATCTGTGCGTACACACACACACGTACACACACATCCCGGCATGCCCAGGGCTATCCTGAAATGGGGACCCATGGTTGCTGGGCTTTAAGCAATGTCCCTGATGGAGGGGATGGGACCGCAGCGCTGAGGGCGCCCAGCCCCCGCTGTGCTGCTCATGGGGGGCTGAGGGGCGGGGCTGCCCCCCATCCTCTTCTGCTATGTCTCCTCCACATCCCACCTCTTCCCTCTACACTGATGTCCTCATCCGTTGGGGTGCAGGTAAATATTGAGTGAGGGACCCTGTCCTGTGCTTTGGGGCAGGAGAGGCCTGTCTTTCCACCGGCATTTTCAAAAACACAGGTCAAGCCTGTGGGAGCTTCTGCCCCTCACCCAGGGCCCAGTGCGGCCAAGGACATGGGCAAAGGTTGCTGCATCCTGCCCAGCTGCCTGCAACTTAGGGCCGCAGCAAATCATAGCTTCTGTGTCACTGCGTGGACACTGTGCTGACATTTTCTGGGCCTCTTGGCCAGGACTTTGTCCTCAGTTTCAACCTCAGCTCTCCCCTTGCTCTCCAGATATGGATTTCACAGTGTTCACCTCAGTTTCATTGTTCCTATTGGTGGGACAGCCAAATTTTAGGGGGATCCCATTACAAAGTGGGTTTCACCCTTGAGGACAAGTAACCTTTGATTGTGACCCAGGCTCTGTGCATGGTTGACCTCTGAGAGCTGGAGGTGGCAGGGCTGCCCTAAAACTGAAGGACGGGTCAGTCACCTGCCATCTCATCTCCTTACTCTGGACTCCAGGAGGTCTGGGTGATGGGGACCCTCCTCTGGATTTTGGGGAGGAGACAAGAAAAAAGACTAAGGATGAGAGAGGGGGGCTGTCCTGACAAAACGGAAGTGTTGGGTGAGAAGCCAGCTGTGCTGGGGCTGGAGGCCTGGGCTCTTGTGTCTTCTGAGCATTCCTCCTCTGCTCTGAAGGCACCTGCAGCCCAGCATGGCAGCTTGCTGCGTAAGGAGGGCCCAGGGGATGAGGAGTCTTGTTTCCAGGGGAAGGAGGAGCTAGAACCCAGATGAGGTAGCAGCACCAGGGGCATCTGAGAGGGGCTTACAGCAGTTGACTTGGAGCCACCTTCCCTAGAAGCTCCTGTGCCCACATCTGGGGAGAATCTATGATGGGTGGGTTCGCTGCCCAGCTCAGAGCAGCTGAGAAGAGTGGAGCGATATCCAGGTGGGGATTTCTACTCATCAGGAGTGATGTCGGGACCAGGTGACGCTTGAGGTTGGAGACTCAGCAAGTGCTCAGCACCCTTGGCCTGGCCTGGAGGGGAGGAAGGGCTTCGGTGACATGACTGGACAAGACAGAGACTGGGACAAGACCCTGGAAATGGAACAGACAGAACCCTCCTGGTATGAGTAGGGCCTTGAGGATGCAGGAGGTGGCTGTTGGCACAGGGTGTCGACATAAAAGGCACTTAATAACTGTTTTGTGGAGTGAATGATTCAACAACAAAAAAGTGGCCTTAAGAGCTCCTCTTCTGGTTTGCAAGGGTGTTGGGCTTACCTTTCTTGTCTTTCTTCTCTTCCTCCTCACCGCCGGCCCCCAGGAGGGTGAAGATAATGCCAGTCTGGGAGTTCACACCCACAGCGGTCACCACCATCCGTCCAGAGCCCTCCATCACATGGGTCCCTGGGGAAGGAGATAGAAGCCAAGTTAGCATTGCATGTCCCAAGTCCCCTCCCCAAAGGAGTGGAAGGAACTCTATCTATAGTCTGCTCCTGGCAATTTGCTTGCTGAGGTCCTAGGGCACTGCCCATGCTTAAGGTTCAAACTATGAACCTTTTAGGATGATTTCTCCCTGGCACAGCACTGTGATGGGCCTGGGGCTCAAACACTGCTAGCCCTTGGTTCTCAGGCCCCCAGATGGCTCAGACCTACCACCTACCACCTCCTCCTGCAGTGTCTTTCCTCCCTCCCTCTCTCTCTTGCTTCTCCTATTCCACCCTTGCAGGCCAAGCAGGGACCACTCTCTCTTTTCCCTGTTGGTCTAGGACCAGACCTCACTGTACTTAATTCTATTACCAGCAAAGAAATGCCAACTAAGCTGTTCACAGGACTGCTTAAAAGAGGGTCCACCCTCCTCCCAAAGATCTGGGGAAAGAACCCAGGGCTTTCTGAACTTGCATGAGAAAACAATAGCATCTTTATTTTCGCAAACATCTAACTGAAAAGTAGCATTTCTCCCATTACGAATGCAGGCAACAAACCCCAGGAGCATCGGTAGCACCCCAACACCACTGCACGTGTTACAGGAGTTGCAGGTTTTTTTCTTATCACTTGGCAGCTGTTGCAGATTTCATGATGCTCACCCTTACTTCACGATACGGCAGTTACTAAGCTGACTGCTGATCTTGTCATTCAGTGTACTAATGAAGAAGCAGGTACACTGTTGTACCACACCTTTTATTACTTTATATCAATCTCACTGTTGTCCTTTGTAATCCGATGTATTTTGTTTTATGCATTTCATAGTGTTAATCTGAGAAGGGGTGGCATATGACAGCACCAGACTTCCCTCGGCACCCATGATGCAGGAGAAGTTAAGAACTTTCCTAGAATTTTGATTTCTCACATTGGGTTCCAAGGGGCCCAGGAGTTTTTTCATGGGTGCAGCAGGAGCAGCTGTGGGGGGTGGGGCGAGGGAGGCGTTTGGTCAGAGTGGCTTCACTTTTATGCACTTTTGGGGTTTCTGTGTTGACTACAGGGCCTTGTCACTACTGTGTGGGTCAGGGAACAACTTGTCCAAGACCACTCAGGTGTTTGAGGCAGAATGAGATAAAATGCAAAGGCAAACCCACTGAACAGGTGATGTATCAATATAATAAAATATTATTTGGTCTTAAAAGGGAAGGGAGTTCTGACATACTACCATGTGGATCAGCCTAGAGGACACTACGCTAAGTGAAATAAGCCCATCACAGAGAGACAAATACTGTTTGAGTGCATTTACATGAGGTCCCTAGAGTAGTCAGATTCAGAGACAGAAAGTAGGACCGTGAGTGCCAGGGGCTGGGGAGGAAGAAGGGGGAATTTGTGTTTAATGGGGACCGAGTTTCAGTTTTACAAGACGGAAGGAAGTTCTACAGACGGACGGTGGTGATGGCTGCAAAACACTGTGAACGTGCCTGCTGTCATGAGACTGTACACATACTGGTTAGAATGGTCAGTTTTATGTTATCTATGTTTTACCATGACAATAAAAATTGAAAAAAAACACGGGGCAAAAAGGGAAACTTGCTGAAGCTGTGGCCTCACTGAGAAAGCGAGGTGACTGCAGCGAGAATGGTGGGGACCTGGAACAGGAAACAGACAGCAGCTACAACAGCTCAGGATGGACGTCACAGGACTGCTGGCCCTTCCCCCCAGGCTGGTGTTGCGGATACATGGCCACTATGTCCTGCCTAGTGACTCTGTCAGAAGAGATGCATCCCTCACAGAAAGATATCCAATGGGCAGGGAATAGTGGGGTGGGGGACCACAGAATGAACTCAGAATGAACCAACTGGGTCTGAGTGGTGTCACTGGCAGAAGGCTCAGGGCACACCTGGGGAGGCCCCCTCAGTCCTGCTGGTGGCCACTCTCTTTAGTAAAGGATAGTTGGGTGCCCATTTTTCCCTGATTTTAATTTTTACCACTCTGGGTAGTAAGCTCTCTACAATGCAGCACATACTTCTCTCTTCAACAGAGAAGTAGGAATCTGGTCCTCACCTGGGGCAGTGTCCCGGGGTGTCCTCAGGTCGCAAAGTATAAGAACTACACTGGGTTTACAAGACAGGGTCTGAGGGGCCCAGTGACCATGAACGCTAGCCCCGACACTAAACGGCCGGATGACTTGCTGCAGTTCTGCTTTTCAGGGTTTTTTCTTCTTTCCTTTCAAGATTGACTGCCCCTTCTCCATGTTTTCAGGGTAACTTGTCTCTAACAGTTTCTCTTTGTTTTCTAATTTGCTTTAGACTTGAAGTCTAGGTTAATAAACTCATTAGAATTGTATCTGAAATAAGTGCCAAGGGTTCTGAGTCAGGACTTGAAGAAGTTCCTTAAAGCAAGGAATCTATTGTCACTTTACAAGAGGTTTTGCCACCCATTCCCTTTGCTTATGAGGCCCAAACGTATCTTAAGATGATGGGAGTATCTGTGTGCATGCACATGTGTGTGGTGTTCTAGACACTTGGCTCCCAGTGTCTCAGGATCTTAAAGTGCTTGACAGACAGACACTCTCCAGTACGTTCCTTTAAGGCAGGAAGAGGTCAGTCTGTCCACCCATGAATGGTTAACTAGGTCACGGAGGCTCCCAGAAGGGGCATGAAACCCACAGAGCTGTAACAGAACCCAGATCCTCAGATGGTGAGCTCCCCTGTGGCTTCTTGCCCACTCCCAGAACAGAAGAACAGTGCTTTTTGGGCAGGGAATAGTGGGGTGGGGGACCACAGAATGAACTTAGACACCGATTCCAGCCCAAGCAGCTGAGACTGGAATCTTCCCATCACAGGCAGACTCTGGGGCCTACCTATCCCCCAAGGGGTACAAACAGGGAGAACCAAGGGCCAGTAATGGGACCCTGGATATTATGTTAATTTGCTGTTAAAATGCTCTATTGTGCACCAGCTTAGCTTGTGTATGGGCTGTCAGAATGTTAAATATCAGCAGTGTTAGACAGATGCGGAAACTGAGGCCCAGAGAGGTCATGTGGGGTGGGACTGGGGCCACTGTAGATCTTTAAAGGTGAAAGAGGAACACACTTCACGGCATTCAGAGTGCAGACAGCAGTGGCGTATCCAGCACTACCTTCAGGAGGACACCTGCTCTGTGTCAGGCAGCATGCCAATCCTTCATACCAATCATCTTTAAGCCCTCACACTGGCTCTCAGTTTATGGGGGAGGAAGCTGAGGCTCAAAAGTGGCTTGCCCAGGCTCACAGCTGGTGGGGGGCAGAACCAGGATCTGAACTCTGAGCCTGCCCCCTTTGTTAGGCACCACCTCTCCCTCCAGGAAACAAGGCCTTCACACCCTGGTCTCAAACACATTTATGAGTCTGCCCTGCCTGGGTGGCAATGGAGACACTGCTCCCCACCTCCCCAGCTCTAGGTGGGATGGAAAAAGACACAGTGGGCCAATTTCCACCCAACATAATCAGACTCCCCCACCCCCCTGCAAAAATCACCTCTAATCTAATCACTCCCATTGAAGCAGGGAGCTGACGACTCTGCTCTGGGAGACACAGAAGAGGGAGAAAGGAGGAGGAAGTCAAGGAGGTGGCCTCTGGCCACAACTCAGGGGTCAGTGGTGAAGCCACAGCATGCCCCCCGCCCAACCTCAGATGACCACAAGGTTGTCCTCCAGGCCCCAGCAGTAGATGGAGTGTCGACATCCTCTTCTGGCCTTCCCTCCTTCTGTGCCCTAGCCTCAGCTCTGACCACTGTCCCCCAGCTCAGCTACCCTCCATAGCTCCCCAAAGTCTAAATGCCCCTGGGTCAGACAGACCCCAGCCTTTTTCTGGCCCTTGACCACTGATTTCTGCCCTGTGGCACTGCCCAGGGAGTGTGTACAGCTCACCGGGTCTCTGTGTCCAGTGCCCCACTCCCTTTGTGCACCCAGTTACCACTGCCTGAATGCCCTGCCCCTACCGCTCCTCCAAAATGTCCTCCTCAAGCTTCCCTCTCTCCCGCCAGGACCTAGGGCCTGGCTGCCCCTCCCTCCAGGGGAAGAACTGAGTATACCAGGTCAACCCTCTAGGCTGTCACACCTTAGCTCCAGGACCCCCTACAGAGGACAACGCTTAACTCCAAAGCCTGTGGCTGTAAAGGTAGAACCCCAGGCATGCAAGTCAAAGGTTGGATACCTAAATCTCTCAAAGGAAAGCTGCAGTTTTGGGGTAGGTGCTGAGGTAAGAACCCTTTACGTGTGGCCCCCCCACCCTGCAGGGCCTTGCCCCAGGACCTCACTGTCTGTTGTCCCCTGGGCACCATCCCATAGCCCCCATCTCATCCAAGCTCCCATGGAGCCCTTCAGAATATATAAGCCTGGAGCGGGGAGGGTTGGATAGAGCGGGCCCTCAGCTGAGGAGGAGGGGACCTGGGAACCAGTCTGGTGTCTCCTTCTGATTTGCTGTGTGACCTGAGGCCAGCCCTCTCCTCTCCAGACCTCAGTTTTGTCTCCTGCAAAATGGGGGCTCTGGCTTAGGTCTCACTTCTCAGTGAAGAAGTCTGGGTCCTTGGGGTCCCTGGAGACAAGGGCTACCCCTGGCTGGGGTAGGGCAGCCTCCATTAAAAGGCTACATCTTGGAAAGTTTGGATCTCAGTTTAGATGGGGCCAGCAGAGGCCTGTGTGGACAGACTGACCAAACGTGGAGCCTCCTGCCAGGGCCGCACTTTTCATCTGACAGACAGATGCGGTGCAGTGACAATTCTGTGCTGGGCTTTGGCGTCAGAAGGGAGGGTCCCCTGTGATCCCTGCCCTCCAGGAGCTCTCAGTCTAGTTGGGTGAGAGGGGAGCACACAGCCACACAGACCAACAATAGCACAAAACAACAGAAACCCAAGGGCCCAGTGGCCTGGCAGGGGCATGGCCCAGGTTAAAGTGGGGAGGTGGGGCAGGAGGATGGCAGAGAATCAGCTGGACTGAAGCTCAGG